CTCACGCAGCGCCCCACGAGGCTGCACTCTGGGCCCCGATCGCGCCGCCCCCAGGCATCAGAGGCCCAATGGGTCCCCTACATCGTTGTCGGGACTCCTTCCCACGCAGCGCAACCTCAGCAGTTTACACGCTAGGGCCCAACGGACAGGACCAGGCAGACAGCGAGGGGCCTTCAGGCTGAAAAAAGCAGGCCCTCAGGGAAGCAAGCCTATCTTTTCATGTGTCTGCCCAGCAGGCTGAGCCAATGAAGTGTGGTTTCAGCTTGGGGAGGACTTAGTCTTCTCTGAGTTCACCCCAACCTATTCAGCGGTTCTCAACCTGTGGGTCGCGAACAATGAAAATACATCCTGCATAACAGATATTTACATTATGATTCATAACAATAGCAACATTACAGTTATGAAGTAACAATGAAAATAATTTTATGGTTGGGGGTCACCACAACATGAGGAACTGTATTAAAGGATTGCGGCATTAGGAAGGTTGAGAACCACTGCGAGATGGTCGGAGGGCATGGGGCAGGCTAGAGGGTAGGAGAGAGGAAGTCACGAGAACATCTTGGGAAAAGCGGAGGGCCAGATCGGGATTTCACAAGTGCTACAGTGCAGAGCTTTAAAAGATGTATACCTTTCAATGAATAAATTTTAAAAAAAGATGTATACCTTTTACTTCAGGATTCCCCTTCTGGCAATCTATCCTAAGGGGAAAATCGTGATTGTGAATATTTACCTTAAAGATGTGCAATGAAGAAGATTATATATATATTATTAAGCCAACCTAAGATCATCAGTAAGGGCCCAGTGAAATAATCATGGTACAGCCACACAACAGGCTGCTTGGCAGCCATTAAAATCACGTAGTTGAAAAAAATTTCATAGTGTGAGAAAATCTTAATGATACTATGTTCAGTGTCACAAGCAGATACCAACAGAGTTTGTGAAGTGTGACTTTAATTTTTTAAAAATATTAAGATTAACCAATAAATAATAAAAACAAAATAAAGATATATTAAAACAGTTTTACTTAGGTATAATTGACCTACAATAAACTCACATTTTTAAAACTATATTTTTGTTGCTTTCAGAGAGGAAGGGAGAGAGAGAAGCATTAATGATAAGAGAGAAACATTGGTCAACTACCTCCTGCATGCCCCACACTGAAGATTGAGCCCACAATCCAGGTATGTGCCCTGATTGGGAATCTAACTGTGACCTCCTGGTTCATAGATCAATGCTCAACCACAGAGCCACACCAGCCAAGCAAACTGCACATTTTTTAAGTGTATGATTTGAGTTGTGACTGTGTATATGCATAAAGCCATCACTACAACCAACATAGCAAACATATTCATCACCCAAAAAAAGTCCTTCCCCTCCCTACCCACAGCCACTGATCTGCTTTCTGAGCAGTGTGATTTTTTTTTTTAAGCACAAGCAAGCGTGCTCACACACACAGGTAGTTAAATGCTCAAAAACAGAAAAAAAAAATCCTTCCAAATAGTATTGAAGAATGTTTATTGAGCATGGGACATTTGCTGATGGTGTGGAGTTGCCTGCAAATGCTTTTCTTTTTCATGGTGATGGCTTTTGTGGTGATAAATATATAGGTGATGGCCAGAGGGTTTTTACTCGCAGTGGTTCTCAACCTTCCTAATGCCGAGACCCTTTAATACAGTTCCTCATGTTGTGGTGACCCCCAACCATAAAATTATTTTTGTTGCTACTTCGTAACTCTAATTTTGCTACTGTTATGAATCGTAATGTAAATATCTGATATGCAGGATGTATTTTCATTGTTGGCAAGCCACAGGTAAGGTGTGACAGCTCTAGTGAGGATGACTGTAGGCTTAGGGTGGTAACTGAGAAGTAAGGGCTGTAGAGTTGATGACTCTAGCAGTGATGTTTGTAAGGGTGAGGGCACCAGTGGGGGTGACCGGCTGTAGCAATAGTGTTTGTAGGGGTAATGGCTGTGAGGTCATAGTGACAGTGATAAGGCAGATATAGGAAGGTGGCTGAAGGGTATTGACTATAGGTAGTTCTAGCAATGATGGCTGTAGCCATGCTGATGCAGTTGTAGGGATGACTGCAGAGGTGATTGTTGTAGGAGTGATGGCTGTAGGGATGATGGTTGTAAGAATGTTGTGGGGATACTGACTCTAATGTCTGTAAGGGTGACAGTTGTGAGGATGATGATTATAATGGTGAAAGCGGCAATGATGATAACTATATGGGTGATGGCTGAGGGTGTTGACTGCAAGGGTGGTTACCATTGTGATGATGGCTGTAGGTGTGCTGGTGGCAGTGAGGATGACTACAGGGGTGATGGTTGTAGGGGCAATAGTAGTGGTAGTGATGGAAGTGATGACTGTGATGCAAGATGGCCAGGAGCATTGGCCCAACAGGCAAAGAGATGGTCCAAATTCTGGTTTCTGGATTCTGGTCAAAGAGATAAGAGGCCTGAGTAAGTCATATAATGTCATGTTGATTGGCCACCTCTGGGGGGGATGGAGCAGAAGGATGATTGACATGAGATGGCAGGGTAGGGACTTTTCTCTGCTTGTTCAACCCAAGAGCCGTCTGCATCAGAATCTCTAGAGACTGAAGCTAGGACTTCCTTCCTCCCTAGGGGCCGACAGGGGCTGCGATTGCTGTAAGAGCAGGTCACGTGGTAGGGTTTCCTGTATGCTGCTGCTGCCGGGTGTCCATGGCCCTCACCCGCAAGCAGCTACTGCAGCAGTCAGAGTGGCAGCCCGAGGTTCGGTCCATGCTGTGCCCCCTGGACAGTGCTGGCAAGGCTGAGCAAGAGGCCACCACATCTCGACGCCTAGGAGAGTAGGGAAGGAGTGTCAGCAGGGCAGAGGACCATGTTGCGCCGCAAGCCATCCAACGCCAGTGAGAAGGAGTCCACTCAGAAGAAAAAGGTGAGGAGCATCTCTGGGAACTCACTTTTTCTTTCCCTCTGCTCTCATAATCCAGCCCCTCGACTCATAGAAGTGGGAGGACCAAAAGCCATACCTTGATTCTGTAGGCAAGGGCTCCCGAGAGCAATGGGACAGGGACCCAGAGGTTACTAGAATAACAGAAGTACTAAAGAGACTTCCAGAATTCCAGAGATATAGAGTTACAGAATAGACTCTTAGAAGTCTAGAGTTATAGAATTTAATCCTACAATGATGGGATAGAGACCTGATATTAAGGGCTAGAATCCTAGACTAGAATTTGAGAATCACAAAATGCAATTCTCAAGTTGAATCCAAAGACTGTACTTAATTGTCTTTCCCCTACACTGGTCCTGCCACCATTTCTGCGTGAGCATGGCCTCTCAAGAGCCATCTCAATCAAAGGGTCCTGCTGAGCCACCCCACTTGAGCCATGATGCTCCTAGGACCCCACTCTTCGGCTGTAGCCAGATTCTGCTCACTTGGTTCAGTTCTGTTGTCGTTCCCCTGGCCCACTAGAGAGAAATTATTTGTTAAGTATGAAAAATGAAGCTGGTGAGATGGGGAGTAGGAGTGAGGGTTGAGGAGGAATAATCTGACGGAGAGATTTTAGAGGCCAGGAATAAAAGCAGCTGCCATGGACAACTGAGGTATTAATATTCCTGGAGCTAAAGCCAATCTGGAAGATCCCTCGAAGGCTCTGCCAGATCTAAGCTTCTCTAGTTGGATTTGAGGATTTCTAGACTTAATTCTTTGATTTGATTGTAGGATTTTCCCAGGCAATCAGCAAGTACATCCCACATATCCAGCGGAACCCTAAAACAATCCCAAAGCAGGCCTGAACCAGGTCCAAGAGGTCCAGGCCTAGCTGCAGGCCAAGGTCCAGGGCCTCCAGTCCCTCTCTGTTTCCCCGGAGCTCAGACCAGGGAACCCCCTGGTCAGGTGAGCACCTCATGGCCCAATGCTGAGCTTCAGATCACTGGTGTGTGCATCCTGCCCCATCTCAGCTCCTGGGGTGGCTGCCACTTCCGTCTATACTCTCCTCACCCCAGTTGCTTCTGTAAGGTTGCAATGGAGGTGGGGGGTGGCATGAGATTTATGAGTTTTCTCACAGGCTCTGTCACCTGCCTGTTCAAGCTCTGCACAGCACTGCTCCTAGCAGACTTGCCATTGACTGTCTCTCTTTGGCGAGCGGTCTGCTTCCTCTTGCTCTTTGCCTAATGGGGATGGGAAGCCGAGACTGCTCGAGACACTGCTGGGCCCCAAACCACAGGGTAGCTGAGCTGCAGCAAAGAGTCTGAGAAAGAGCTGACACTTTAACACTAGGACCCTGCGCTAACTCAGGCAGAGGTGCAAGGGGCACGCAGAAGCCAGATTTCCCATTTTCTTTCCTCACTTCCATTATCCCAACTCTGTGTTTGGCCACTGGGTCTCTGGAATTTTCCCCAGGCCTTTCCCAGGAGAAGCAAGTCCCATGTGGTCCTCTAGGGCAGTGGTCGGCAAATTGCGGCTCGCGAGCCACATTCGGCTCTTTGGCCCCTTGAGTGTGGCTCTTCCTAAGCCTTAGGAGTACCCTAATTAAGTTAATAACAATGTACCTCCCTATATAGTTTAAGTTTAAAAAATTTGGCTCTCAAAAGAAATTTCAATCGTTGTACTGTTGATATTTGGCTCTGTTGACTAATGAGTTTGCCGACCACTGCTCTAGGGGAAGGTGGTCCAGGCAAAGCCACTCCTAGCCAGAGCCTGGGCCAGCCTTCAATGCCACTCTTAAAGCCTCAAACCTTGGAAGTACCCTTAGAAAAGCCAAAGTATGCTTCCAGAAGGTGAAGACAGTATCTTCCCTGGGCCTGGAGGCAGTGGCTGGATCCAGCACTGTGACCTTAAGTAAGTCCCTTCTGCTCAGAGAGTAAAGTGGCAAGGTGGAGGAAAAAGCACAAAAGCAAGCAAGTCCTCTCTCTCCTGCCTCTGCTCCTCCTCCCGGGCCTGCCAAATTGAGAAAGTGCTGTGCAGGGGACAGGAGAGCAGAGTTGGAATCCTACCAAGTTCTAGCTGTAGGACCTTGGACAGTTCATTGACTTTCTTTGGGCCTCAGTTTCCTCATCTCTGAAAAAGGGGATAGCTCCTGATCTGTCCACCTCAGGAAGTTACATGGATCACCTGAGACAATAAATGTGAGAGTGCTTTGCTGAGTGTGCGCATGTGCATACAAGGTGTTGCATGCTGTCAGCATGGGTGGGGGTGGGGAGCACACGGCAAAGAAGAACAAGCCTGGGTCCCAGCCCTGAAGTGAAGAAAACAAGACTTAATAACATCAAGAGCCAGCACTGAGTGAGAGCTCATGAGGATCAGGTACCAAGCACTGTGCTGTGCACTCCACCCATCTCTTAGCTCCTCGGCTTCTCATGACACCTTTGAGTTAGGGGCAAATATTGTCTTTATCCCTATTTTAGGCCCAAGACTCAGAGACTTACCCAAGGTCACCCAGCTAGAAAGCTACAAAGCAGATATCCAAACCAAGATTTGTCAGTCTCAGAATGTTAACCATTTCTCCTACTCTCTTGTCCCCTACTGATTTCAAAAGAATGTGATGAGAATGAAAGACTGAACACATCGTTAAGAGAACTCTGCAGGGCAGAACCAGATGACTACTGATTGTGGGACTTTCCAGGCAGCAGAGGCAGGAGCAGGCCCTCTAGGATGGTGGGGTCAGGATGTGGCACCTATTGTTCATAATGAAGGATTGAGGAGGCCCCTGAGTTGGGGGTGGGGACATGCCGCTTGGCAGATTTTTGCCTCTAGTGAGGTCTCTCTCTCTCTCTCTCTCTCTCTCTCTCTCTCTCTCTGTTAGGGTGTAGGAAGTGGACCAAGGTTTGTCCTGGGATTGCACCCTTACTTTCCACCACACCCCAAACCTCCTACCAAGGGAAATGGAGAGGAATTCTAGTGTCCACATGTTCCCTCCTTCCAGTTTCTCCCTGCTCCTCTCTCTCCCAATCCCAGCACACTACATCCCTATGGCTCCCTTCCTATGAAACACCTCTAGCACGACATGCCTACCAGCATGCATTTTGTATTTTCAGTGGCTCCACATTGCCCACAGTTCCTTGGCATAGCTGGCAAGGGTTTTCCATAGCCCTTTCTGCTCTACCTCCCATCACGTGCACTGGCATACCCACCATTCCATCGCCACACTGGAATGTCTCTAACTCTCACAATTGTTTAAACCTTTCCCAGCAACTCCTGGAAAAATCCTGGCTCCCCTACATGGCCTAGTTCAAATCTGCCTCCTCCTCTATGAAACCCTCCTGAGCCCTTCCTCTTCCATGCTCCCACCTGCTCTCCCTGTTGCTCCCTCCAAATGCCACCTGAAGTCGCCATTGCACTAAATTCATTTCTAGTGTGTGTGTGTGTGTGTGTGTGTGTGTGTGTGTGTGTGACTTTGTGAGCTCTGAGTGCAGCAACATGCAGTTTGCAGAGTCATAGACATGGGTTCGAACCCCTGCTCTTTCTGCTGCCAGCTGTGTAACTGGCTAGTGTACTTTGTTTCTCTGAGTCTCAGTCTCCTGAGCTAGGAAGTGGGTATGTAAAACAGGGCTGTGGTGAGGTTGGAATGAGCTGGTACACATGAAGCACTTGACAGGATGCCAGGCACAGGGGAGGTATTTAACCCCTGGTTACTGGATTCCCATGCACACATGGCCTAGTGCCTAGAGCTCAGAGGGTGCTAGGTATGTGACTGGTACCAGAATGAGCTGAGAGCATAGTTGTGGAGATACCTAGGTGGGGAAAGCCAAGCTTGCTTAGGAAGCAAGGTAAGAAGATGGCGCTGTGAGGTCCTGAGAGGGTGATCAGGGGAGGCTTCCTGCAGGGGATACTGCCTTTAAAACTGGATTTGAAAAATCTATTTCTAATATTTGCACAAAGAAGTGCATAAATCATAAGTGTACCACTCAATGAATTTCCATAATGTACATCCCCATGGAAGCAGCACCCAGATCAAGAAACAGAACACTTGCCCTAGCTGGTTTGGCTCGTTGGCTAGAGTGTCAGCCTGCAGAATGAAAGGTCCCAGGTTCGATTCCAGTCAAGGGCACATGCCCAGGTTGCGGGCTCGATTCCCAGTAGGGAGCATCCAGGAGGCGGCCGATCAATCGGTGATTCTCTCTCATCACTGATGTTTCTATCTCTCTCTCCTTCTCCCTTCTTCTCTGAAATCAATAAAAATATATTTAAAAAAAGAAAGAGCCCTGACCGGTTTGGCTCAGTGGATAGAGCGTCAGCCTGCGGACTGAAGGGTCCCGGGTTTGATTCCAGTCAAGGGCATGTACCTTGGTTGCGGGCACATCCCCAGTAGGGGGTGTGCAGGAGGCAGCTGATCAATGTTTCTAACTCTCTATCCCTCTCCCTTCCTCTCTGTAAAAAATGAAAAAAATATATTTAAAAAAAATAAAAAAAGAAAGAAACAGAACACTTGCAACACTCCAGCAGCTTCCATCATGCCTCTGCCAGTCACTACATGCCCTCTTTCTCCAAGGATAGCCACTAGCCTGACTTCCAACAGCATAGATAAGTTTTGACAGGCATTGAATTTTCTATATGAGGAACCATATAGTATACTCTGGTGGCCGGACCCTTCTGCTCAAAGTGTGTCTGAGAGTCATCCATGTTGTTGGAGAGAGCTGTACAAAGCTCATCACCATGTCCTAGTGCCTCGTGTGACTGCCACTACTCATGTATCCATTATTTTTTTTAAAATTTTCAAATATACTTTTTATTGATTTCAGAGAGGAAGAGAGAGATAGAAACACCAAAGATGAGAGAGAACCATTGATCAGCTGCCTCCTGCACACCCCACACTAGGAATAGAGCCCACAACCTGGGCATGTGCCCTGACTGGGAATCAAACCATGACCCCCTGGTTCATAGGTCGACGCTCAACCATTGAGCTACACCGGCCAGGCTCATGTATCCATTCCACAGTTGATGAGCCTGTGGGTTGTTTCTGGTTAAATCGGATTTTGAAGGAAGGGAGAAACTTCAGTTGACAGAGTGAAGGGTGAAGTGTTCCAGGTAGGAAATGCCTGGTGAGAGCCTGGAGGTGGGTCAGAGGAAAAGCTAAGCCATACACAGACATTTGGACATCTGCTGAGGGGTGGCTGTGTCAGGCACTCACTCCCTTCATCCTCACAGCAACACGGTGAGGTAGGTGCTCTTGTCTTCATTTTACCCATGAGGAGACGGAAGCCCAGAGATGTGAGGAACTCACCCAGCTTTACACAGCTGGCCAGTGGCAGAACCAAGATGTGAACCTTTGCCTGCTGACACCAAGTGAAGAGACTGGGGTTCAGGGAGGTTAAAGAACTCGCTGAAGATCACACATCCCAAAGTTGAACTCAGCGAGCGACACCTGACACCAGATAAATACTTCTTTCTAAGAGGTCCACGAATTACCCTTAAACATGAAAAATAATGCTCGGTTCTACCACCCCCCTGGGCAGGACCCCCAGGAAGGCCTCCCCCCAAATGGAGGACAAGCAGAAAATCCAGAGGCTCAAGGATTTCAATTCATATCTTGGTGTCACTTCAGAGGCACCCCAAGACATTCAGGATATTTGGGGCTGCCCCTGAGATTGGAGATCGGCCACTCTGGTCGGCCCCCACCCTTAGTCACCTGAAGAACTGTACAGCCTTTTCTATGTTCCTGGGCTGAGGATCCACCAGCAGCACCCAAGTCCCAGCACCACCCCCACAGTCCTTTTTGATAGTTTCCTCTGCTTTTGGCTAAAGCTGGGCTGGAGGGGCCCTGAAACAAGGTCCCAGGAGCCAAAGGCCCCCCTCCCAGCCCTCTGACTGCAGATTAATGACAGGAAAAGGAAAGAACTGCGATTAGAAGGAGGCCTGGCAGTGAGTTTACTCTGCCCCAACAAAGCTCACTTCTGGCCCCATGCCTGCCCTCCTGCTTGCTTTCCAGGCTTGCCAGTCCCTGGGGCTTCTGGGGCGACTCTCAGCCTCCTGGTCTGCAGACCAGGCCAAGAGGTGATGGAGAGAAGGTCATGCTAGGCCCCATTGACCTATAAATAGCAGCCCAGTCTGTTGCCCACCCTCTCTCTGTTCCCTCTTTTCCAGGCAGTAAGAGGAGGAAGTCATCGGGGCAGCTGCATCCTAGCCATACAAGAGGAGGAAATCAACGGAGAGCAGAGAGAAGGGGAAAGAAAGGGAGAAAAGGAGGAAAGAATATCGGGTGGGGAAAAGCAACGAAAGAGGGTAGAAGGGATACATGGGAACCAGAGCAGCCACCCCACAGTCATGCTTGCCCTTCCCCACTCGTGGACCCCTTTTCTGGCTCCCCAGCATAGCATGGAAGAGGCTTCCTGATGGAGGCTGCCGATGCCCCACCCAGGAGGCCCTTGTGGTTCCAGTGGCTAGCGACTTGGCCTGACTGCTGACCCAGTTTCTGGTCAGCTAGCTTGTTGCAACCTCTAGAACAGTGTGGCCCCTGACCCTGATTGCTGACTCGCCTTGGGTCAAGACCCACCAAGAGAACAGAAGTGCTCCACTGCAGTCCTGGGGAGCTGGGGCCAGTTGTGTGTGTGTGTGTGTCGGGGGGCAGGTGACATTGCCCCTGCCCTAAGAGGTTGTCACTGGAACCCCCTTCTTAGGAAAGAGGATGTGAAACTTTCAGCTTTGTGCGGGTTTGGAACTTTGGTTCCGCAAGACCTTATCTCCGGTGTCTGCAGTCTATCCCGCTCTATCTGTCTGGCCATCTGTGAACCATGGTTCCTGTGTGTATCTGTAGTCTTGACTGTTGATCTTGATTCAGGCTCAGCCTCTGCTTCTTGTGTTGAAAGCCTGCCCTCATTACCTGTCTGGCCTTGGTTCCCATAGCCGCCTTGGCATGTGCACACGTACACAGTTAAGAAAGCTCATTTCCTGAAAACAGTCTCATCAGCACAAACAATAGGTCAGGCCGAAAAGTCCAAAGCCCAGCACCTGTCAGCAGTAGTCATGTCATCACATTAGTGGCTCAGATTAAAAGCTGGGGTGAAGAAAGAAAATGGCAGCTTTCTTTTATTCAATGATTGCCAGTCATTTGTGTCTCAAATCTGTGGGCACCTTCTCTGATGGCTTCTTTTTGTTGTTGTTGTTAATCCTCGCCAGAGGATATTTTTCCATTGATCTTTTAGGGAGAGTGGAAGAGAGAGGGGAAGACAGAGAGAAATAGCCATGTGAGAGAAACACATTGTTTGGTTGCCGCCTGCACTCTCCCCGACCAGAGACTGAGGAGCCTGCAACCAAGGTACCTGCCCTTGACCAGAATCAAACCCAGGACCCTTTGTTCTGCAGGCTGACACTATCCACCGAGCCAAACCGGTTAGGGCTCCGACGGCTTCTAATGTGATTTTCCAGAAAACGTAATGCCACGTCTTACGGACTCCTGGGGGGAGTGTTTTGCTCTTCTTGGGGCAGATTCACCAGGGTGAGGGCCCTAATGTGCTTACTGCTGTCACTGTGACAGGAGACTATTCTTGGAGCTGGCCCAGAGCCCGGAGGCCAGGCTGTGGGGCTTGGAAGGGTTTGCTCTGTTACATAAATGCGACGCTATGGTTCTTGCCAAGGTATGTCTAGTAGAAAATATGTCTTTGATTCATTTAGTCTTTCAAGTCAGGGTTTTGGGGACCAAACTTCAGGTATTGGTGGAAATGCGGCCTTCATGGGAGGCCTAACTGAGGCTCTTGACGTCAGGAGCTTGCTCTGGGGCAGGTATTAGAGGCCATCTCTGCTGTGAAACAGGATGAAGCCAGGTATCTCCAAAGTCATCTTGGTGTTTACCTCAATAACCCTGGGACCTCAGGGCACATGTGGCTCTGTCCAGCCCTGGGGTGTGTGCGTGTGTGTTGAGAATGGGAACAGTTCCTTACAGCCATTTTAGCACCACTGATTGCAACACCTCTGCTTCTTCCAGCTCTCACTGCAGCGCTCCAGCAGTTTCAAAGATTTTGCCAAATCCAAACCCAGCTCCCCAGTGGTGAGCGAGAAGGAATTTAATCTGGATGATAATGTAAGTTTCAGAGCTTCCTTGGAGTTGGGAGGCTGGCTGCAGGCCCTGGGCAAGGGAGTGGCTGGAAGGGAGAAAGGGAGGGAGGAGGGGAAAGAGGAGATTTTTTAAATTAAATCTTTATTGTTGAACATATTACATATGTCCCCTTTTTTCCCCCATCGACCCCTTCTAGCCTACTCCTGACTCCACCCCCACCCCAGGCCTCCATCAGCCTATTGTCTGTGTCCATGGGTTATGCATATATGCATACAAGCTCTTTGGTTGATCACTTTCTCTGGTTCTCTGGGTTTGTTTTGTTCATCAGTGTATTTTGTCCATTAGTTTCCACATATGGGTGAGATCATGTGATACTTGTCTGGGAAAGAGGAGATTTCAAGATTGTTGAGGCAAAGTTTGCTTAAATACAGAAGGTCCACCTCTCCCACCCACCAAAATCCTGGGCCCCAAGGACTCACCTGCATCCTTTTCAGTTACAAATTAATTATCAAATTAATTACCCATGAATAGGGCTGAGGACAGGACTGTAACTAAGAGGGAAGGGGACAGGAACTTCCCATTCCCACCCCTCCATCCTCTGCTGGGGCCCGAAGGCTCCTTCTATCCCTAAATCCTAGACACAGGCAGTCACCAAGGTTCCTGGACTTCTTGTTGTCACAGATTCCAGAAGATGACTCAGGTGTCCCTACCCCAGAGGATGCTGGGAAAAGTGGCAAAAAGCTGGGGAAGAAGTGGAGGGCTGTGATTTCCCGAACCATGAACAGGAAGATGGGCAAGATGATGGTGAAGGCCCTGTCAGAGGAAATGGTGAGGCCTGGGATCCAGGGGAGGGGTGGGCACAGGTCCCACTCTGACAAGGTATGAGCATGGCTACCTTGACAGCCACTGCTCAGATACCATGTCTGAAGTCTCCATTAAATATGAGAAGAAAGGTCACATGGGAGGAGAGCTCACTCAGCCATGGACAAGGCACTAAGGTCCAGAGGGAACAGGGTTAGGGTATAATGAGGGATGAAAGTTGGAGTAACAGGAGCTTCCTGAGGAGGCAAGCCTGAGGAGAGTGGGCATCTGGGATTGGGAAGGCTTGATTCAAAGAGGGGACCCTACGAGAGAAAATTGGAGAAGGCTGGCTTTAGCCCAAGGAGGGAGGGTATGACAGACATCTGTAGGGCAGTCACAGCCAAGCAGTTGAAGTCACACAGTGAGTCTGGCATGTTCTGAAGTCAACTAGTACTGGCTTATACCAGCTCAGGAAAGCAGCTAGCCAAATTTTCAGGAATTTTGCATGAAACATAACATTATTGAAAATTAAATGATATAAACTAAGAATTGAATAAATGATATTAAAAACAAAGGGACTACAGTCAATGCTCAAAACTGATCCCTTCCTAATTCTTGGACTCCCTTTCATTGTTCTCTATACCCCTGAAGTTATTTGCATCTGTAGTCTCTGTGTGGAGGAAATAGCCTATGATGATGATGCGCTGCTTGGTCAGTGACTTCACTGTGGTAGCATGATATTGGCCATGGTGGGGAATATTAACAACACAGGAATTGATGACCTCTACACATAAAGGAGGAGTTCCCTCTGCACTGAGGTATGGTGAGGCGAGGGATGCTTTGGAGTCAGGTGGACTTGAATGGGGCCTGGGGCCTGGCCTTGGGAATGTTCCTCCATTCTCATCTGAAAACTTGGGACAATCAAGCACTTATCCTCAAGTGAGGATTGAATGAAATGACAGATGTGCTTGGCACATGGGAGCACAGTCAAAGGTAGTAACTCTTCAGCACTACTGTCTGCATGACTGCGTCCCAGTGACAGCTCGGAGTCCAAGCTCTGGCACCAGCCTTCTCTGTATGTGCACTTTATTTTTTTAATATATTTTTATTGATTTCAGAGAGGAACGGAGAGGGAGAGAGAGATAGAAACATCAATGATGAGAGAGAATCATCGATTGGCTTCCTCCTACACACCCCCTACTGGAGATCAAGCCCACAACCCAGGCATGTGCCCTGACCGGGAATCGAACCTGGGACCCTGCAGTTCGCAGGCCAATGCTCTATCCACTGAGCCAAACCAGCTAGAGCTACAATGGCACTTTAAATGGACAGAGTACATTCACAGGGCCTCATTCTGTGAGATGGGCAGGGCAAGGACTTTTCATTCCCACCTTACAAAAGAGGAAGCTAGGGCTCTGAGAGTGCCATGCCGCCTGTAAGTTGAGGCTCCAGCCAGGGCCCAGTTCTCTGTCAAGCCCAAGCCTATTTCCTCTGCACCTGGGCTGCCCCACGTGCACCTCAACAGAGACTGCTCAGGGCTTCCTGTTGCCCTTCCCCTGCAGGCAGACACTCTGGAGGAGGGCTCAGCCTCCCCGACATCTCCAGACTGCAGCCTGGACAGTCCTGGCCCTGAGAAGATGGCACTGTCATTTTCTGAGCAAGAAGAGCGTGAGCTGCCAGCACTCAGCCGCCAGACATCCACTGGTAAGTAGGGGAGGTACAGGGACATCTGTCGAGTCTGGAGAAAAGGATTGGGTTAGGGCCCATTGTCTGGGAGGGGCTAAGAGAAATGAACCTTTACAGCTCTGGGAACTTTCCCAGCCCGCTTCATGTTAAATCTTTACAACTTCATGGGGCCAGTACTATTATTATCCCCACTTTATTGATGTGAAAACTGAGGCTCAGGGAGGTTAAATGACTTGCTCAGGGTGACCCAGTCTTGAAGTCAGTTCTGCCCTAAAGGAGCTCCGTTTGCTGTCCCCAAGCCCTGGAGAGCTCAAGGGCAGAGGAAAGCCCCCCTTGCCCTCTTTTTTTAAAATACATTTTTATTGATTTCAGAGAGGAAGGGAGAGGGAGAGAGAGATGGAAGCATCAATGATGATGAGAAAGAGTCATTGATGGGCTGCCTCTTGCACATCCTACACTGGGTTGGAGCCTGTAACCTGGGCACATGCTCTTGACTGGAATCTGGAATCAAACCTGAGACCTTTCAGTCTGCAGGCCGATGCTCTATCCATTGAGTCAAACCGGCTAGGGCTCCCTTGCCCTCTTGAACCAGCCCACCCCCACCCTTCTAAGCAGAGCTAGAGGCTCCAGCTGCCTGGGCCTCTCTCATCCCAGGCTGGTGTGGGGGTATAGAGCCTCCAGCTGTGAAATTCAGCCTCTTGGACCCCAGACCTTGGATTGCTGAACTTAGGGCACCACTTGGCATCTTCTAGATGTCCATGGGGCTAGGCAGGAGATTCTGACAGCCCTGCCTAAAAGAGCGACTGAGGCCTCTGGGCTGCAAACCTTCAGAGGCACTGCCTTTCCCACCCCTCAGGCTAGTTCCAAGTTACCTGTTCTTTCTCTGGTTCCCCAGACCTGCCTGACCTGTCCCCCCTCCCCTGCACTGAAAGCCATTTAAAATAAGCTTCATCCTGCTCTTCCCTGAGAGAAAGACCCCATCTGAGTTTCCAGGTAACTGGACACTGAGTTTTATTAAGCAAGTTAAATATTAATGAAGGGTGTGGCTTCCTGGGTGGAAGGAGCACTAGAATGGGAATCAGGAGACCTAGAGCATAATAGAGCCAGTGCTGCCAATTATAACATGAGATGGGCAGGTCACTTGGCCTGTCTGGCCTCAGTATTCCTCATCTGTTTAGTGGGGTGTTGGCCCAACTGGTCTCTAGAGGCCTCCCAATTTGCCTGTTCTTTGGACTCTGAGCCGTTTCTCCTGTGGTCAGCTATTCTCATGTCTAAAGCCTCAGAAGTGAAGCTGTGCTCCTGCAGGGTGGCCCAGGGGATGGGCCAGAATCCCTGCCACAATGTGAGACTAACCAGCACCTAGCTTTTCCCCCCACGGTGTAGCCCTGGGACTTCTAGACAGACTCCCTGCAAGGCACCTGCTGAGCGCAGCCCCAGCTGTCCTGGGACAAAGGTGACTCTCCTCCCTGCCCCATATCCTGCAGGCAGTGAGCTCTGCAGTCCCAGCCCAGGCTCTGGCAGCTTTGGAGAGGAGCCACCTGCCCCCCAGTACACAGGGCCCTTCTGTGGCCGGGCCCGAGTCCACACCGACTTCACTCCCAGCCCCTATGACCACGACTCACTGAAACTACAGGTAAGATTGGCATCCAGGTCCCAGGCTGCACACATAGAGGGGGCTGGACTGAGTCAGGGTAGGACAGTGTCAGCGGAAGCCGTGGGACCGCCCTGGCCTCTCTCCTAATCCACTCTGTTCTTCTCCCACAGAAAGGTGATGTGATCCAGATCATTGAAAAGCCGCCTGTGGGCACATGGCTGGGCTTGCTCAATGGCAGGCTGGGCTCTTTCAAGTTCATCTACGTGGATGTGTTGCCCGAGGAGGCTGTGGGGCCTGCCCGCCCCAGCCGCCGACAGAGCAAGGGCAAGAGGCCCAAGCCCAAAACTCTGCATGAGCTGCTGGAGCGCATTGGCCTGGAGGTCTGACCTTGGGCCTGCATTAGTGGCTAGGATCAAAGGAGGTGCCCGTATCCCAGGGATGGTGGCCAGGGCACATCAGCTAAGTGGGGAGGGAAGGATTGGGGGGCTTGTAAGCGGCCTAGCTGGTGGCCTGCCTCTGCCCACAGGAGCACACGTCCACCCTGCTGCTCAATGGCTACCAGACACTGGAGGACTTCAAAGAGCTGCGAGAAACACACCTCAATGAGCTGAACATCACAGACCCACAGCACCGGGCCAAGCTGCTCACTGCAGCCGAGCTGCTGCTGGACTACGACAGTGAGTGGGCTTTGGAGCTGGGTGGGGTGCCACTGGCGGTCCAAGGAGGGGAGGCCTCTGCCCCAGGGCCCTGTGCAGTGGATAGGAAGGCACTTTCCACACTTATTTTACGTCTTATTTTTTATTTTTTAAAAATATTTTTATTGATATCTGAGAGGAAGGGAAAGGGAGAGACAGAAACACCAATGATGAGAGAGACTCATTGATTGGCTGCCTCCTGCATGCCCACTGGGGATCAAGCCCGAAACCTGGCATGTGCCCTGACCTGGAATCAAACCATGACCTCCTGGCTCATAGGTCGATGCTCAACCACTGAGCCATGCTGGCTGGGCCCCTTTCCACACTTTAATCCCAGTCTCAGGCAAAGTTTGTGGGGAGAAGGGGTTTTAGGGATGATCGGGCCCCACTCCCTTGGGAATCCCAGGGGAGACTTAAGGCCAGAGAAGGTAAGGCAAGTACTCAAGGCCTCAAAGCTGGGCAATGACAGAGGCAGGTTTCGGGCCTCCTGGCTTAGTGCTGAGAAGTTTAAGTTCTTGAGCCTGTAAACTACAAGAAGGGCAGAGATGGTGACAGGTGCCCAGAGGGAGAGACTGCCTACAGTGTTCCTACCCCCAGGGCCCCTACTCCCACACAGGGCTCCCAGGGGCTTCTGACCCACTCCCTTCCAAGGCCCAAGGCCCCATATTCCATCTCCCACCCTTGTCCCTGGCAGCCGGCAGCGAGGAGGCAGAAGAAGGTGGCGACAGCAGCCAGGAACCAGCAGTGCACACCCTGTCAGACCCCAAGGGGGACATCCCACGTGACTCAGGCTGCTTCGAGGGCTCAGAGAGCGGGCGTGATGAGGCAGAGCTGGTGGGCGCTGAGGAGCAGCTGCAGGGCCTCTCCTTGGCCGGGGCACCTTGAGCGCAGGTGGTGGCGGGCCAAGGCTGGGCCCGAGCAGCACATTCAACAGGGATGGGCCCGGCCTCCAGAGGTGGCCCGGGCTAGAGGACTGGCGCCTAGCCTGGCCCTGCTCCCCTCCCCTCCCCCCTTGGCACCGAGGACCGCAGCAGCTGTCCAGGGCCTGCAGGCTTGGCTGGAGTGGATAAGGAGCTGCTGTGGACACACCACACCTGCCTGGCCCCCTCTCTCCACCAGCTACTGACAGTACAGCCCACTCTGGCCACGGCTACAGCAAGTGGGGCACCGAGGGGTCACCTCACTCATGTCCCTCAGCAACAAAGCCTCCAAATCCTCCTCACTCCCACAGCACCTTCCCCTGTCGCACTGTTTCTGAAAAGAGAACAAGTATTTCAGGTCTGTCTCAGGGCCCTAAGGAAGTTGGCCATTTAAAAGGACTCTAATTGATCACGGAGAAATCCAGATTGTCCCCAATAAGGTTTGAAGAGAGCAACATGTACCTTTCCTACTTTCCTTCTCCTTAACTTCCTGTGAGGTTTAGCCACTAAATCACTATGTGACTCGAATCAAGTGCCTTCCCCAATTTGGGTCTAGGACTGGCTGGCATTAGAATGGATAGACGCTGAGGGCCTTGCCAACTCAGACATTCTGTGACAATAAATGTCTGCTCTCCTGTTACCTGTGGCCCAAGATACCAGTGGGGCTTACGAAGGAGGCTGGGGAACCTCAGGCTCCCAAATGAAATGCCTGCTCCTGCTCATCAATTCTATACCTCCCCACATAACTCAGGCCACGCTGCAACTTACTCCAGCTTAAAACAATGCCCATACCTTATAGAGTGTGCACTCTCCCTTTCCACTCCTGGCCCCCTCCAATGACACTTCTCTCAAGGGTGATGGCAGATGGCCAGACCTGGCTTCCAAAGATAAAATGGTCCCTCAGAAGCCAGATGCAGGTGCCGGCCCTGACTTGGCCTCTTGTGTGGGTCCTTACAAGCCAGGAAAGCACAAACTTGACGTTGGGGAATCCATTACCCCACTTTGCTTGTTAAAGGTTTTGATGTGCCCTGAGCTCCTAAAGGGGAGGGATAATATCTACTGGTGGGGGGGGGGGCTCCCTTGACCCCAGTACCGAATCTGTGCTCTGCATTCCAGAGTAACCCTTCCCCAGTGCTAAACTGGCTCAGGGACAAACAGTGCCTACTATATCTAGGACTGCTGGCTTAATGGACACACTTCTGAACCTACTACCAGGAACTTTGGTAAAGCTAGCTTGTGCGGGGAAGGGATTAATGTAAATATGAGGGGGGTGAGGGGAGATAGGTTGGCAACAATAAACATAAGTAGAATGAAATTACCATCTCATTATCTTTCTTTTTGTTGTTGTTCTGTTAATCCTCACCCCAGGATATTTTTCCATTGATTTTTAGAGTGGAAGGGAGGGGGAGAGACCAAGAGAGAGGAACATCAATTGGTTGCCTCCCGCATGTGCCCCAACCAAGGCTGGGGCTCCAGCCTGCAACCAAGGTACCTGCCCTTGAACAGAATCCAACCCAGGACCTGTTAGTCCAAGGGCCGACCGACTCTCTATCCACTGAGCCAAACTGGCTAGAACTCCAGTTATCTTTCTTATGGAGAGAGGGTCAGGGGAACACACCAGTTTCCTTCAAAGCTGGACTCAGCAAAATGTCCTCCATTGTCCTTTCAGAGACATTTGTCCCTTCCCTGCAGACCTAAAGCTCCATTTTGAAGCTCTAGCTGGCTCTGCCCTTCCTGCTAACCAGCCCCCGCCCCCACCCCCATCTCAGGCTCCCAGGGCTACGGTCCTTTGCTGGGGTCTGAGAGTTGGGAGTATCTTCCTAGAACAGTGGTTCTCAACCTTCCTAATGCCGCGACCCTTTAGTACAGTTCCTCATGTTGTGGTGACCCCCGATTTCATTGTTACAAATTGAACATAATTAAAGCATAGTGATTAATCACAAAAACAATATGTAATTATATATGTGTTTTCCAATGGTCTTAGGTGACCCCTGTGAAAGGGTCGTTCAACCCCCAAAGGGGTCGCGACCCACAGGTTGAGAACCGCTGTCCTAGAACTCTTCATTTAAGAGCCTTGAAGACCTCTACTCCAACGAGAAAGGGCCTGAACTGGGGGTTGTCCAGTGTCCAGGAAGGGGAACGTTGAATTCAGCTGGGCCTTTCCTCTGAGGCCACCTCTTCCTGAGGCCTACCCTGTGATCACTGAAGCTACATCATCTCTTGGGAGGTGGAACAGAGACGAAGACCCCTGGATTCCTTTGTTTCTGTCAGTATTAACTCCACGAGAGTAGCAAACTGGAGTGAGTGCTGCCACCAGAGGGGAGACAAGGCCACTCTGCTTCCAGGCTTTGTTCTCAGTTGCACTCGCCCCACTGCCGTAAGTGGCAGCGGGCCTCAGGAAACTGTAAGCATTATCTTCACTAAAGAAGCAAGGAGGATCCCAGATGACCTCAAAGCCCCAAAGGCACTGAATAATGGCTCTAATTTAGTGAGTACTGACACATTTGCATTTCTTCTCATAATCATCATGGTATCCCCAAGGTAGGTACCTTCACATTCCCAGTTTACAGAGGAGAAAACTGAGCAGCAGACAAGTTGAAGTTGAGTAGGAAGTCCAACAGCTTTCAGAGGCCCCTCCAACCCTCCAAAGGGCAATCTGACCCTCTGTAGTGTGCCTTTAACACCCTTTAACCCATTCCCCTCCAAGGATTCAATCCACAGAAAGCCTTACAAGTACACACAGATACATGGACAAAGATATTTGCAACAGCTTTGTCTGTAAGACACTGAAAACACCAATGGGGAATTAGATACATTATGGTTCGTTCACGCAATACCATGCAGTCATTAAACATGATGTTGTAAAAAAATATTTGACACAGGGAAAATCTTTGTAATTTTTTTATTGTTTAATTTAATATTTTAAATTATTCAGTAATATACAAATGTTCTTATTGTAATAGAAGTCTGTGCTATGTTATGGGGAAGAAGTAAGTGCTAAAACATTATTTATAGGGTGATTTATTTTAAGAAAAGAAAAACATACACAAGAATTAAGACCAGAAAGATCTGAATCAAATGGTAACTAGTGATGATCTTGTGAGGTGAGCCGGGTGCGATTGGTGGAGTAACGGAGAGAAGTGTTCACTTTCTACATTCTTGCTTTATTTCCATTTCAAAAGTATCTATTTTTTCCTTTTTTATCTATTATTTTTATATATATTTAAAAAGGAAAAATATTTTAATTTGGGGGAATCTAAATAAATCAATACATCCAAGTTTCTGGCCTCCAATTTGGGGTAGCAGCAACGTCATTATCCTGCTGCCTTAGGCTCAGGCTTCTGGAAAGATGGGGAGTGGAAGTGAATAATGCCCAAAGCATTTTAAAACCACAAGCACACCAAGGATATTCCTAACCCTTTTAAAACCCTGGGTAGCGCCTATCTATTAAGTCTAAGCTGGGGAAAGGAAAATATCAGAAAAAGAAAAGTCAGGCTGAGAAAAGTATGTTTTGAACTCCTCCTCTGCCTCTAACTCCTCCTCTGCCCTGGGGAGGGGGCTGGAGGAGCTATAGGGCCTATAGGCTGAATACAGGCTGAAAGGCCTCTAATGAATGCAGGTGAAGAGGGGCAACAAGGAAATGTAGGCTGAAGGCCAAGACCTGAGGGGCCAAAAAGACAGTGTCAGGTGGGGCTACAGCCCAGGGTCCAATGCTCTTCCTCCAGGCAGGGCTGCGGGACCCTCCTGTCCAGCCCCATGAACATCTAGAAGATGGAAAGTGGCTCCCTGAGCCCTACAAACCAAGATCTGGGGACCAAGAGGCTGAGTCTTCACAGATAGAGACCCTATACCCCTACCCCCAGCCTGGAATGTCAGAGACCCAGGCAGCTGTAGGCTCTAGCTCCCCTTGGAAGGATGGGGGGGTGGGCTGGTTCAAGAGGGGCAGTAGGGGCCCATGGTTGAGCATCAACCTATGAACCAAGAGGTCATGGTTCGATTCCGGGTCAGGGCACATGCCCAGGTTGTAGGCTGAATCCCCAGTGTAGGGCATGCAGGAGGCAGCTTGTCAATGATTCTGTCTCATCACTGATGTTTCTATCTCTCTCTCCCTCTCCTTTCCACTCTGAAATCAATAAAAATATATATTTTTAAAGAGGGAAGTGGGGCTCTTCCTCTGCCCTTGAGTCCTTCAGGGACTGGGGACAGCAAGTGGAGCTCCTCTAGGGCAGGTAAGGCTTAGCGGCTAGGAGTTAGGGCCTACTTGAGTTCAAGTCTTGGCTTTGTCACTCACTTAGCTGGGTCATCTTGGACAAGTCACTTAAGCTCCTTGAGTCTCACTTTTCCCATCAATAAAGTGGGAATAACAATATTAGCACCAAGGGGTTGTTACGAAGATTGAGTAAAGTAGTGTATATGAAATATCCATAAAATCAACATTCAGTGAATGGATCCCCTAAATCCGCAATACCCTGTACCTGCATTTCACTCCCTTCAAGGCCAATCTCACCTTGGACCCCTAGGTTAGTGTAGTGACAAAAAGCAAAGGCTTTGGAGTTAAACTACAGTGTCTTCAAATCCTGGCTCCACCACTTACTAGTTACCTGACTTCGAGTAATTACATACATACACATTTCTGGAAATAAGAATGATCTAGCCTGGCCGGTGTGGCTCAGTGGTTGAACATTGACCTATGAACCAGGAGGTCGTGGTTCCATTCCCGGTCAGGGCACATGCCCGGTTGCAGACTTGATCCCCAGTGTTGGGCGCGCAGGAGGCAGCTGATCAATGATTCTCTCTCATCACTGACATTTCTCTCTTTCAATCTCCCTTTCTCCCTTCCTCTCTGAAATCAATAAAAAAGTATATTTAAAAAACAAAGTCGCCGAAACCGGTTTGGCTCAGTGGATAGAGCATCAGCCTGCAGACTGAAAGGTCCCAGGTTCGATTCCGGTCAAGGGCATGTACCTGGGTTGCGGGCACATCCCCAGTGGGAGATGTGCAGGAGGCAGCTGATCGATGTTTCTAACTCTCTCTCTCTCTCCCTTCCTCTCTGTAAAAAATCAATAAAATATATTAAAAAAAAACAAAAACAAAGTTAAAGGAGGTTTTTAACGGGAAAATAGGGCACTGATCACTATAGTCTCAGTGAGATCCAACACCTTCCCCCCCACACACACCACCCCGCCAAGTCAGGAAATTCAGGATGAGGTATGAGGTTTCCGAGCTGGGGAAAAGAAGTGGCTCTCCCACCTCCTTCACAATAGAGGCTACCTTAGCTTCTCACACAACTTCAGCCTCATTCTATACTATTCAGCCAACAACACAATCAAGTGGGAAGGAACTGCCTCTCCTCTAGACCCAGCCAAGACTCCTCCTCTAGGAAGGCCCTAAATAAAGGAATTCTATAGCATTTGATATGTAGGCTTCACCTTTTCCTATAACTTCACAGTTACCAATATAGCATTTGTATACCATTGCCTCTGGGACCTGCCAGGGATAGCGTCAGAAAGAGCCCAGGCAGTGGCCCTCACAAAGGGACAGCCAACTTGACTGTGGGAACCGACAAGGCAACTTCCTGACTTCCTGTGCTAAAGAAACCCCACCATCAGTTCAACCTAAGTGCAGGGGTGTGGAGAGAAAGTTAAGAGATTTAAGTTTAACACAAAGCCCAACAACCACCCTCATATCAGCTCGACTATTTATAGTAAGCCCTCTGTATGCCTAAAATGGAGAGACCATTGGTCAAATGATTCCAAAATGGCACCAAAAAACTTCTAAAAATCATTGCTGGTTCTCAGCTCACAAGAGAATGGGATCAGCAGTGCAATTTCTCCGAAAGTTAACCCTAACACATGGTCAGTTTTCAACAAGTATTTATTGAATGTTAAATGAAAGAAAGGCTCATTTCAGTCAAGTGACACTTGGGAGTTATTCAAAACCCTTTATCTGTCTGTACCTGGGTTATGCTGGAAAGCTCTCTGACAGGGATTCCGGGCACCTGGGGTTCTGGTCTTAGCTCTACCAGTAGCTATCTATGTGACCTATGGTAAATCACAGTACAGTGGGGCCTTGACTGACGAGTGTCCCGACTAACGAGTTTTTCGAGATACGAGCCATCTCTCGGCCGATTTTTTGCTTTGAGTTGCGAGCTAAATTTCGGGTTACGAGCCAGCTTCAGATACCCCACGGCTAGTTGGCGCAGTGAACGTCACAGTGAATGCCACAACATCAGCCCAGCATCACATGTCTCACTCGTTCACTTTAAGATTTGACATATGAGTAATTTGAGTTACGAGCTCCGTCACGGAATGAATT